TCACAATAGGGAATGCACAGAATTATGTAAATATATATATATATACACACACACACACACTATATTGCCATCTCACGACTCAAGTTGCTATTTCTAGGTAAAGGGAGCTCTTTGCATCTAAGTCATTGTTATTCAAATTAGGGTATCTATACCCATTTATACATATACAGTTGTGTTCAAAATAATAGCAGTCAGACATCACTAACCTGATCAATCACTGTTTTTGGTAGAAATGATATTTCTACATGGCAAATAATTTACTAGCAGGTGTAGTAGAGTAATAGAAATCCCACAGACCCAACAGTCATGACATGCATGCTGCTGATTCTGTGTAATGGAATCACTAATTGAAAGGGGCATTTTCAAAATAATAGCAGTGTGGAGTTCTATTAGTGGGGTCATTCATTCTTTGAAAAACAGGTGGCAATTATTGCCCTTATTTAAGGAAGGAAGGCAGCAAATGTTGTACATGCTGGTTACAGTGCACTTCTCTCTGAAATTCTGACATTGTTCAGAAGAACAGCGTACCTTGATTAAAAAGTTGATTGGAGAGGGGAAGACATATAAAGAAGTGCAGAAAATGATAGACCGCTCAGCTAAAATGATCGCAAATGCTTTAAAATGGCAACCAAAACCTGAAAGATGTGGAAGAAAGCAAAAAACTACCATTCGAATGGATAGAAGAATAACCAAAATGGCAAGGACTCAGCCAACAATCAGCTCCAGGAAGATCAAAGAAGGTCTAAAGTTACCTGTGAGTACTGTTACAATTAGAAGACGCCTATGTGAAGCCAAGCTATCTGCAAGAAGCCCCAACTGCTGAAAAAAAGACATGTGCTGAAGAGGTTACAATTTGCCAAAGAGCACATTGACTGGCCTAAAGAGAAATGGTGCAACATTTTGTGGACTGATGAAAGTAAGATTGTTCTTTTTGGGTCTAGTGGCCAGAGACAGTTTGTCAGACGACCCCCAAACACTGAATTCAAGCCACAGTACACTGTGAAGACAGTGAAGCATGGTTGCGCAAGCATCATGATATGGGGATGTTTCTCATACTATGGTGTTGGGCCTATTTATCGCATACCAGGGATCATGGATCAGTTTGAATACATCAGAATACTTGAAGAGGTCATGCTGCTTTATGCTGAAGAGGAAATGCCCTTGAACTGGATGTTCCAACAAGAGAACGACCCCAAACACATCAGTAAATGTGCAACATCTTGGTTCCAGACCAACAAGATTGACATTATGGAGTGGCCAGCCCAATCCCCGATCTTAATCCAATAGAAAACTTGTGGGTGACATCAAAAATGCAGTTTCTGAGGCAAAACCAAGAAATAGAGAAGAACTGTGGAATGTAGTCCAATCATCCTGGGCTGGAATACCTGTTCACAGGTGCCAGAAGTTGGTTGACTGCATGCAACACAGATGTACAGCAGTTCTCAGAAACAGAGCTTATACAACTAAATATTAATTAAGTGATTCAAAGGAAAGAAAAATCTTCAAACATTTTTCAGTTTATATAGTGAATGTTTGAGTTTGTAAAGAAGAATACAAACACTGCTATTTTTTTGAACAGTCTAATATTCACTTCTCTTCAATTTTTTTAGAGGAACAACACAAATTTGATATATTTTTCTTCATGTTTTGATTTGGAATAGAATGTGTAGTGTTCCCAATGCATTTGTGTGTATGGAAATAAAAGCTATTAGAAGGATTTTGAGCTTTATTCACTTTTTTCAACACACTGCTATTATTTTGAACACAACTGTATATATATACTATATTGCCAAAAGTATTGGGCCAGCCCTTTAAATAATTTGGATTCAGTTGTTCCAGTAACCTCCATGGTCACAGGTGTATAAAATCAAGCACCTAGGCAAGCAGACTGCTTCTACAAACATTTGTGAAAGAATGGGTCGCTCTCAGGAGCTTAGTGAATTGAAGCGTGGTATTGTGATAGGTTGCCACCTGTGCTATAAGTCCAATCATGAAATTTCCTTGCTACTAAATATTCAACTGTTAGTGGTATTATAACAAAGTGGAAGCAACTGGGAATAACAGCAACTCAGCCACGAAGTGGTGGGCCAAATAAAATGACAGAACGGGGTCAGCACATGCTGAAGCGCACAGTGCGCAGAAGTCGACAACTGTCTGCAGAGTCAATAGCTAAAGATCTCCAAACTTCATGTGGCCTTCAGATTAGCACAACAACAGTGTTTAGAGAGCTTCATGGAATGGGTTTCCATGGCTGAGCAGCTGCATCCAAGCCTTACATCACCAAGTGCAATGCAAAGGGTTGAATGCAGTGGTGTAAAGTACACCACAACTGGACTCTGGAGACTTGTTCTCTGGAGTGACGAATCACGCTCCTCTGTCTGGCACAGGGGTGGACTGACCATTTGGGCATTGCCCGAGGGCCCGGGGTCTGTAGGGGGTCTGTGAGAGGATCACTGTCCAGTGACAGTGTGGGGAGCGTAGGAGGAGGCAGTCTCAGATCCCGACCCAGAAGTAGCTCACCTGTCACTTCGCGTGGGGGCAGAGTAAGTTGGGTGATAGGTCCGGACACTGTGCTGGTGATGGAGCCGGTGGGAAGGTGAGAGGCATGGGTGCGGGGTGTTCACTACACACACCCTGCACCCCCCCCCCATGGATGATCTGTATCGGGAACAAAGTCGGAGGTGATCGGTGCAGAGGAGGGACAGTGACAACACCGATCTCCCTGCATGGATTTCAAGGAAGCAGCTGAAAGCCATGGGACAGAGAGGCTTCCAGCTGCCTCGTTGAGATCCATGCAGGGTGATCGGTGCTGTCACTGTCCCTCCCCTGCACCAGTCATCCCTGACTGTGCATCGGATTTCCCTCCTGGGCCCCCCTCTGTGCTCCTCAGACTCCCCCTCGCAGGTCTCTAATGCCTTGTCTTCTCTGACCTGGATGAAGGAAGACGATGAGAAAATGTCTGAAGCTTTTCGAAGGGAGATCCCCTCTTCTTCGGAGCCAGTTTAACATGATGTAAAGTCCTGCCTTATATACCTAATAATGGTTTATAGATCCCTCCCACTAGTGGGCCGGAGTAATTAGTGTGGAGGGGTATCACATACTGCATGCTTAGACCAATTACTGTACAAATGGATACAAGTTTTTTCATAGCACTTATTGGAAATATATAGTAATAATAATAATCTCTAATTAAAAGTGCATTCAAATCTATGAAAAAAAGAGAGAAATACAATTACATACCGTTCTATTGTATCACTGCATGTCACCTGAGTGGCAGGGGGCAATAACTGCCAAGATGAATAGACAAATGTTTGATTTAGGTAATAGAATTGATACAGGTATGGGATGTCACTATAACATTGATATGGTCCACTTAGAGTCCCAGGACGGGTGTCTGTGTGACTGCGGAATGCACGCTGATGTAAGGGACCAGAGAAGCGGCTCTGCTATGTGTTTCAGCTGCAACTTCCGGTTCCGATGTCCATGGTCTGTCCAAATTTGCCTGATCTGGGTCTCTGAGCACAAGAGGTTACTTGTTTTCACTTGTCTCTACATACCTGTCAAACTCTTCATGGATGAGTCAATCCAGACAATGCTTATCAATTCACTTTAAATGGGCTGCCCACATGCAGCTCAGTTGTAGTGCAAAGAAAACAACAACTCTCCCTGCTTCATAGGGCTGAGCACCCATATTCATGAGTGATAAGTCCCTGCATATCATAGATGAGTGGTAAATGGTGATGCAGGAGGATACAATAATCTCTACCATGGAGAATGTCAGTATTTGTACATTGCACACAGTGCACTCTCAGTTTTCAGGGGCTCATGGTAGTTTTGGAACTAAACCTTGGGGCATGACCAGTCCGATGTGTTGGTGATTGTCTGCACAGAGAGAGGCATGGAGGAATGGAGAGGTGACACAGACTCCCCATTCTGCAAGTATATGGTGTCATCTGCAGCTGTGCAGATACTGCCACTGGACATGAAAGGATGGAACTCCCCAGGAGATGCTGGACTCTGGAGATGGTGGACTGTGGCCATGCCAAACTCCAGTGAATACAATTGAGGGAATTTACACTGGATGTTTTTCTTTTTTTTTTGTTGTGGGGGGTGGGGGATTGTATTGGGAGGAGAAAGGAATTATTGCTTGGGAGGCACTCTGTGCTTTACCTACTTTGGCCTCTACTGGTTATGCATTTTTGACCCCCCCACAACCAACATTTGGTGTAGCATGCCTGCCTCCTGCTCCACCCCTGCCCAATAAAAGTTACACGTGGGCATTATCAGTAGGGTGTCCCCTAATTTCATTTTGAAAATCTGGTCACCTTACTGTAATAACAATACAAAGTTATTTTTGACAATCCAATATAAGATTACTCAAAAAATCTCCTTTCATGCTGCGAGTGCTGTCTGTCTGCTGGTCATCACTTTCTACAACATCAAGGATTCTCAGTAGCTTCTCTTCTGCTATTTACTTTCAGTTACTAAAGACTACATATCCCATGGTACCTTGCTGCCTGCAAACAGTGATTCCTGTACTGACTCCGCCTCCTGAAACTCCTCCTCTCAACTCCTCTGTAGTTCAGAAGGCAGGCTCTGTGAAATGTGTGACACGGCAGTGCCTACTTGCAGGCCATAGTAAATACGCGTCACAGAATTTAAGGAAGGAAATGTGTGGGGATATTCACAAAGTAAGTTTACGAACTTATAGTGTTACTAAACCCAGGAGCCTGCATTCACTATATCTGATCTCCCACAGTACACACATCATGGAAATCCAATTATTTTATTTTATTTTTAAATATAAACTGCTAAATACCTTTTCTCATCAGCAGTTAGAGCAATCTTGTGAGTTCTATCAGTGTTCAGTTGAGCACTGGTTAATGTTGTAGGAGGAGTTTTCATTCACCTCTGACTGTCCTATGAGGCTGTATAACCCCTGACCCTCTGTCTGGATGACAGCACTGACTGGTTCTGTACTGATCACATGTATCCTCCCGAAAAAACCACTCTAGCAATACGCACCAAACAGAGCATGTGTAGACTTGCCACTGCTTTTCTAAGTATGGTAGATGGATTGTTGACAGCGAAAGAAGCAGAGAATCAGAGAAGACAGGATCAAACGGCCTTTTTACACAATGCAGAGGATTAACCCCTTAGGTTCCACAGTGAATATAACAAACATGCTTTACTGCATATACAGACTGATTTTACTGTTGTGGGTTTAGTAACACGTTAATGATTGATCAGATTAATAAGAGTAGGCTAGAGATAATTGAATAATGTGGAAATGGATGAATGATTTTACATTTTGACCATGGATACACTTTAAGTGAAATGTTGTTCTTGGGATTATTCAGAATAAAACAGATGTATCTACATCAGCTTCGGGGGAACTGAATATCATGAAATGCTAATTACTATCTTTCTCTTCTTATGCATTTACTGCCAAAAAAGATAAATAAACTATGAAGCTTTGTCCTGCCAGGAAAGTGTATGTTTTAGTGTGTTCTGGTAACATGAATCTATTATCCCTTTGATCATGTGGAAGGAGGATTGCAAAGTAAGCATAGCACAGTCTGTTTAGAGAAATGTGCTGTTACAAGCTGATTTTCACATCCCTGGGGAGCATTTCATTATCCCAAGTTGTTGGCTTGGTCTGCCATGGTGTTTATTTAATGCAAACAGCTAAATGTCCATTACTTTAACTACAAACAGTCCAAAAAATCATTAAAGAGGCAGTTAGCCATTTGTATAGTCAGGATAGTGGAAATCAAAGAATGGCGTTCTCTTGAAAAGTATGTTGTGTAGAGAGACCCAGATTCATTATTGGAATAATATCTAGATGCCAAATTGTATTGTATTCTTAAACGTTCTTGTATACACTAGTGGAGCTAAAGTGGCACAGTGGGTATAGCTGTACCGTGTCCAATAATGCCCGTGGGGGCTAGGACTACAACATACCACGATGGAAGTGGGCTTCCCCTGCATGGAATTGCTTTGCACTGGAAGGACTCTGGTTCCATGTCCCAAAATAACATACAGAAGCTTCCAACATATTTCCAGCTTCACCCGTGATCATATCACTGTCACCAGAACCAGAAGGTCAACAAGTACACATCTTCTCATACTCATGCATGCCACAGTGTATACGTAACCACATACAGAACTTGGGATAAGTGAACTTCTTTAAACCTGATGATATAAAAGACACCTCTTAATGCAACTAAGTAAACATTAATAAATTATTACATGTATTTTTAAATGCAAGCTGTGTAAGTACCTGAACTTTACCTGGGATCAGACGCTAGCAGTCACTGTACAGATGGGTTCAAAAGGAAGAAACAGAGAAATGCAGTCATCAGTGTGCTGCTTCTCCTTTTACTGTCCAGTCACAGCCTAAGGTGGATCCAGAATGACCTGGGTTCAAAAGAAGTAAGTAAAATTGCGCTGGTCATCAGACATAGGACATCTAGGGGCAGGATAATTCAAACTCTGAATGGTCTAGGGCAGCAATGGGCAAACTACGGCCCGCGGGCCGTATACGGCCCGGCGAACCTTTTAATCCGGCCCGCGGAGCGTGATAAAAAAAAAACAGCCAGGGCAGGCAAACATTGGCTGTCAGGATGTGTGTAGGCGGGGCAGCATGACGAACGTGAGGGGAGCTAGGCTCCTCTCACACCCTGAAGACCGGAACGGCGCGGGAACACGGCAAGAGGAACGCGCGGAGCAAAGGTAAGTAAATTGACACGGGGGGGACTTGGCTTACTACTTGGGGGGGAATAGTACTGTGGGGGATGAAATACTATATGAGGGATGAATTAATATGGGGGATGAATTAATATGGGGAATGAATTACTATAGGGGGGATGAATTACTATATGGGGGATGAATTACTATATGGGGGATTAATTACTATATGGGGGATGAATTACTATGGGGGATGAATTACTATGGGGGATGAATTACTATATGGGGGATGAATTACTATAGGGGGGATGAATTACTATATGGGGGATGAATTACTATATGGGGGATGAATTACTATGGGGGATGAATTACTATATGGGGGATTAATTACTATGCTTACTATTAGGGAATATTACTATACTTACTATGGATGGCATGGTAGTGTTTAAATTAATCTAAACATTTAATGTTACAAATTTTAATTTAATTTATATTAATTCACACATATTAACATTTACATTAATTCACATCATTCATCTACTCTTGGTCCGGCCCCCGGGTCCAATATATGAACCCATTGCGGCCCTCAAGTCAAAAAGTTTGCCCACCCCTGGTCTAGGGTCATCAGTGATGTACCGCAAGGTTCAGTGTTGGGACTCTTAGTTTTTAATATATTTATAAACAATATAGGGTCTGGGATTAAAAATCCCATTTCAGTTTTTGCAGATGACACCAAGCTGTGCAGTGGAATAACGTCCTTACAGGATGTCTTCAATTTAAAAGCCGGCCTCAATGCACTGTTTAATTGGGCAACTATGTGGCAAATTAGGTTTAATGTTGATAAATGTAAGGTTATGCACTTGGGGGCTAAGAATATGCATGCATCATACATACTAGGGGGAGTACAACTGGGGGAATCAATGCTGGAGAAGGATCTGGGGTTCTGGTAGATCGAAATGAACTCTTCTGCGCTCAGAGACCCAAAGGAGGTGGAAAAATGGAACCAGAACTTGAAAAAATTCGACCACCTGTGCATATGGGGTTGTGCAACTCCAAACAAGGCTGGGGAAGCCCGACCAATACTGTGAAACAAAAACAAAAAAGAAGCGCACCAACCTTGCGCATTACCTTGGTAAACCAAATTTTATTGAATACAAAAATATACTCACAAACAATGAAGCATTTCAAGCATGTAAGTTCTCAGAGGAACTATGGAATGGTAAAACCTGCGCGAGTCCCATCATAGGGGTAGACACTCAGGGAACAGCTGACACGTTTCAAAGGGTGTCCCTTCTTCATCAGAGCTTAACTGAACAATGAGTGCTTTCTCCCATATATACTCTCTATAATTAGAACTGGATCCTCCCTACTGGGATGGGCCATCTTAGGAAGGGAGGAGGGGCCAAGGTATTGACAGAATAACTAAACCATCAAAGCTGATAGTACAGCTATAATGGTAAGAGTATGCTACATTTCCAAACATGATAAGGCTACAATTAGAAATACAATTAGAAATTTCTATGAAAAAAAAAATATATATATACATCAACAATGAACAATAAATACAATTAAAAAATACAAATTAAAAATCAAAATACTGTTGTAGTATGATGTTGTTTATATACAAACATGCCCAGATGTAGTTATTGTGGTTACCAATGGTATAAATATGTGTGTATAAATCCGTATGAAAAAGTTAAGCACTCATTGTTCAGTTAAGCTCTGATGAAGAAGGGACACCCTTCGAAACGTGTCAGCTGTTCCCTGAGTGTCCACCCCTATGATGGGACCTGCGCAGGTGTTACCATGCCATAGTTCCTCTGAGAACTTACATGCTTGAAATACTTCATTGTTTGTGAGTATTTTTTTGTATTCAATAAAATTTGGTTTACCGAGGTAATGCGCAAGGTTGGTGCGCTTCTTTTTGTTTTTGCTTCACGGTTCTGGTAGATCACAAGTTTAATAATGGCATGCAATGCCAAGCTGCGATTTCTAAAGCGAGTAAAATCCTCTCCTGTATTAAGAGGTATAGACTCCAGAGAGAGAGAGATATCCCTGTACAAATCATTAGTAGAACCTCATCTGGAATATGCAGTTCAGTTTTGGGAACCAATTCACAAAAAGAACATTGGGGAACTGGAGAAAGTACAGAGAAGGGCAACAAAACTGATAAGAGGCATGGAGGAGCTCAGCTATGAGGAAAGATTAGAGGAACTGAATTTATTCTCTCTTGAGAAGAGGAGATTAAGGGGGGATATGATCAACATGTATAAATACATCAGTAGTTCATATAGTGAACTCGGTGTAGAGCTATTCACCTTGAGGTCATCACAGAGGACAAGGGGGCACTCTTTACGTCTGGAGGAAAAGAAATTTAATCTCCAAACATGGAAAGGTTTCTTCACAGTAAGAGCTGTGAAAATGTGGAATAGACTCCCTCAAGAGTTGGTTCTGGCCAGCTCAGTGGATTGCATTAAAAAAGGCCTGGATTCTTTCTTGGATACACAGAATATAACTGGATACTAACATTTATAGGTAAAGTTGATCCAGGGAATATCCAATTGCCTCTCGGGGGATCAGGAAGGGATTTTTTTTCTCTGCAGGAGCAAATTGGATCATGCTTTGCTGGGGTTTTTTTTGCCTTCCTCTGGATCAACCTCTGTGGGTATAGGATTATAACATTTATTTTTTTTTTGAATGGTTGAACTGGATGGACTCTTTTCTTTTTCCAGCCAGACTAACTATGTAACTATGTAAGGATAAGAGCACTGCAGGCTAATATCTGGATTGTGTGGTACGGTATATTGCATGTGATGCGCACAGGAACCGCACCTCATTCCTGTGCAAATCACATGCGATTTGTCTGTGGTAAGATTGGAGCCATACATTTTGTTTGGCTCAAATCGTACAGCATCCGCACCAAAAAGGTACAGGACCCTTTTTTTGGTCCGCACTAGAATCGGATTGCATGGGTATTCACACCTATGCAATCCAATTCTACACATTGCACCACATTTTGTGGACTGATGTCGAGGTGTTGTTAACTTAACATACACGCCTGCAGCTGTTTCGCATCAGCGGGGTGCGATTGTGAATTCCGCACCGCATCAGTGTGAACCCGGGCTGAAGGTTAATATTACAGCAAACGCTGCTTTTATTATTTTATCTTTTATTGCGCTATTACTTTTTACTTTGTTATTTTTTGATTGTGTTCTACTTTAAATGTACTTTGGCAATGGTATAACCTGCAATTCAGGCCATTGCATAAATATTTACTAAGATTTGCAGATGTTTCCACTTTAAGCTTTTATAGTTTGTTTTCGCACTGGAAAAGCTGAGGAACAATGCTAATTATTAAAGTGGATGTAAACCTCAGACATGAAATATAAACAAAGTCTATCCCTCTATAGTGTGTGCTTGTTTCAATTAGGAGCAGTAACTGCCATTTCTGACTGCTGCTTCGTTTCTCTACTACCTGGGTGAGTCACTTCTGACAAGTTTTCCTGATACCAAGAGAAAAATTGTGACCTCCGTCAGACTGACAGCCTCAGCTCTGTTCCTGTGAGCTGTGTGAAGGGGGGGGTCTCTTCCCTCCAGTCAACTCTCAGAACCAGGGGCGGACTGACAACTCATGGGGCCCCGGGCAATAGGGGATCATGGGGCCCCTGTGTCCTTGCCAAACTCAAAAAAGCCTATGAAAAAGGTACCAGGGGCATCTCATGGGGCCCCCTACTGACCCCGGGCCCTCGGGCAGTGCCCGAATTTCCAAATGGTCAGTCCGCCCCTGCTCAGAACTCTCCTTACTGAGCTCTGCAGAGTGTAATTTTGGCTCCCCATTCCCTGCTTTCTGAAGTTCAGAAATGCTATGTAACTTCTTGACTTTAAACAGCTATACAGAGGAAATGACTGCAGATAAACAAGTATAACTTATGTAGGAAGACTTGCTTCATCTCTGTGTATCACCTGAGGCTGGTCAATTCACTGGGTATATGTAAGGGTTTACAACCACTTTAAGTGTCAATTTGTGGAATCCAATGACAAGTGTGTATATAAAAGCAGCTTTAGTGGTACCAGTGGTTGATATATCTATTACTGAAGTGTTGGAGTGAACAATATCTTTGTTAACATTCATATTTATTATATTTTTAATAGATATTCATCTCTCACCATATAAGACAACTTTTTTTATCGTTTTCAGCAAACAGTGTCACCAGTCATACTGATGAATCATTCAGATAGAAAGGCAAAATTTCTAGACGTTTTGAAGCTATAGGAAAAAACTTTTTTTCTCTGTTTCTTTCCGGAGAAAATGGGAATTTTCGGTAAAATTTAAAAAAATTCAGCATGGAGTAGTTTAGCCACTGGCCTACAGGGCACTTATACCTCCTTCCTGCCCAGGCCAATTTTCAGCTTCCAGCGCTGTCACACTTTGAATGACAATTGCGCAGTCATGCAACATTGTACCCATTCAAAATTGTTATAATTTTTTTCACACAAATAGAGCTTTCTTTGGTGGTATTTACTCACCGCTGGGGGTTTTATTTTTTGCGCTATAAACAAAAAACAGAGCAAAAATTAAAAAAAAAAAAGTTTTTCTTTGTTTCTATTATACAATTTTGCAAACACATAATTTTTCTCCTTCACTGATGTACGTTGATGAGGCTGCACTGATAGGCAGCACTGTTGGGCACTGATAGGCAGAACTGATGGGTACTGATAGGCAGCCCTGATGGGCACTGATAGGCGGCACTGATGAGCTGGCACTGATATGCAACAATGATAGCCACTGATAGGCGGCACTAATAGGCGGCACTGACTGGTGGTACTGCTGGGCACTGACTGGCTGCACTGCTGGGCAGCACTGATGGGTGGCACTGCTGGGCACTGGTGGGTGGCACTGCTGGGCACAGGTTGGTGTCACTGCTGGGCACAGGTGAGTGGCACTGCAGGGCACTTGTGGTCGGCACAGCTTGGCACAGATGGGTGGCATTGGTGGGCACTGATCATCAGGGCACTGATCATCAGTGCTCCAATGATCGGTGCCGAGCCATCCTCTGACAATTGCCAGTTATCGTTGGTACTTTCCTCACGCTGTGACAGCATGAGGAAAGTGCACCCCGATAACTGCATTTACCGGTGATCTGCTGTGCCATTGGACATGGCTGATGACGTGGTAAGAGGCCGCTGTGATTGGCCTTTTACCAAATCATATGATCAGCTGTGTCTGTAGGACACTGCGATCATGGAGATCGTTGGGTGCGTGCCCCCAGGGGCGCGCGGGAGGGTGCATTCTGGGAGGACGTTATATGATACCCTCCCAGAACTGGCCAGCCGCAGTGAAGCCGTCATTCAGCTATCTACTCTGAAGCCAGCAGGTGGATGAAGTCACTCAGCCAGTCCAGGATGGGGAAAGATTCTGACTTCAAAGTCGGAATACACCCCAGAGTCTGGAGCAGCACTTGGCTCAGCTTCTCAGCAAGCAGCTGGGAGCCTGAGCCAACCACTCCCTCCCCCTCTACAACCCAGCGCGGGGGGGCAGAACAGAAAGCATTGACTGACAGTCACCACTCTCTGCTCACAGTGGTGGTGAGAACTCATGCGGTCATGTGATCGCTGAGTTCTCACACTTAGAGCCAGCAGGGGACAGATGCAGAATCGGACTTACTGTAGGTAAGCATAATTTGGGGAAAAAAAAAAACTTCTCTTTTAACAAATTGAAAGTTGTTTTGTTACACTGGGAATGTGAAATGCAGTGTACATAATGCTTGAAAAAAAAGTACAGCTTATTCAGTAAAGTTGCTTTTTAAAATTGTATTTTTTATTACAAATGGAATAACACTGTATCTATTAAGAACATTCAACTATAGATGAGAACAGGTACCCCCCCCTTTCCCTCGTAATAATTTAAAAGTTTCTTGCCAATATGCATTTTCAGTTATTGACAAGGCTGATCCAGAAGCATACAGTATATTACTGTTGCAAGAACGTGATCAATTTTCTCCTGATTTTCAGCTGTCATTTTATCTATAAATGAAGGGATTGTGTATTTTTGGAGGCAGTGGTTTGTAACACTTCCTTTCTTGAAGATGCTGCTGATGTTTCTGGAATGAGAACTCTGAAGGGAAAAGCTATTTGCACTTTCATTATGGTCTTCATCATCTCATTCCATAAAGTATTTTTTTTTATGTCTTTAGGGCACCTCTGGCATGCAAAGATGTGTTTTGTCATCCTTGTAGCATTTGGAAAACAATATTTTTCTCACAATATGTACAAATTACAGCTTTTCTGAGAGCAGAAATTGTACTGTGGAAATGTTTTCAAACTTTAGATGTTGGTCTCACCATTTTACAGAGAAGAGGAAAAGAAAAAACAATTTATTGACCAGATTATATGGAAGCATTACTCTGTGATGGTGGAGAACATTCATAGGAATCATTTAAAAGTTGAAAAAGATAAAATTAATTTGTCAGACAAATTTACCCTTGTACCTGTCAATTAAGGCCTGAGAGGACAGAAACTATAATCTACTGTATCCGAACAATCACCCAACTGTAGGAGGTACAAGAACAAGATGGAGCCCACAAGCAAACTAAACTGGAGCCTTTCCCTGCAGTGCCCATTAGTTGCAGAAACACATAGTTGTTGTTATTTTAGAACTGCATTGAGAAGTACAGTGCTACTTACATAGTTACATAGTTAGTCTGGCTGAAAAAAGACAAAAGTCCATCCAGTTCAACCATTAAAAAAAAAAGTTGTAATCCTATACCCACAGTTGATTTCAGAGGAAGGCAAACAAACCCAGCAAAGCACGATCCAATTTGCCCCTGCTGGGATAAAAATTCCTTCCTGTTCCCCCGAGAGGCGATCGGATTCCACATTTTCACAGCTCTTACTGTGAAGAAACCGTTCCGTGTTTGGAGATTAAATTTCTCTTTCAATATTTTTATTATTAAGAAAGATTTGTTTTAAGAATACAACTGGCTCAAGATATGCCCATGCAGGGGCAGAGCAGAACAATAATACATAATGAGATACATCCTGCTGACTTGTATTAGTCAAATAATGGAATGTCCAATGACATCAAGGAGGGACGGCAAAAAGTCGAACCAAATAATAGCAGCAGCAATGCATCATATTACTGGAAAAAAAAGAGGAAAAGAGAAGAAAGAAGAAGAGAAGAAGAGAAGAGAAGAAAAAAAAAAAAAAGGAAAGAAAGAATCAGAAAGAAAACATGGAGGAAAGGAAAACTAGAAGAATCACGGATCCAGGGCTAGCACAGGCTGTGACTATAAGAGGCCATAACTAGTTGGAGGCAGGGGTGGCAAGGAATAACGTATCCAAGGTTCCCAAACTTTAAGGAATCTCGGATGAGAATCATGAAGAATGCTAGACATCAGTTTTTGTAGCTGCTGACTTTTTTTCAGGTGGAACTCCGCTTTAAGTTTGAGGTTGGCAAAAACTATTACAGGGAGCAGGGATCAGTTCTGTAATATCCTCATTTAGCTTACCTTTGTGTCAGTCTTGAAACATTCTACCATTTTCATTCCCAACCTGTGATTATCCAGTAGCCATCCCTTGATCTAATACTTGTCACTCTGCAAACAGTGTATGCAGCTTTCTATGCTTGCCATTGTGCCTGAGTCTAAGGTCACAGTTGTGCCCATCTCTGCCCCCACTTGAATCATTATCAAAATCAAGGTCACTTCTTGCAAATTTGCTAAACAAGATGTAAAACTAATTCTCATGGTGGATCATCAGTAACATGGTTCCTTCCTTCTTCTTGAAGTCACTGTTGTCTCCCATCCACCTTCTCCTGTTAACCATCCTTCCATTCCAATCACCAACAGCAACATTGTGGCAAGTTATATTGTAAAGTGCTGAGCAAACTGTTGGCGCTATATAAATCCTGTATAATAATAATAAAGTCAGACACTACACTTCGTCTTCTTCCTTGCTTTACTGTATTAGCCCCTGTTCACACTGCTGCAACTTTGCATGCAACTTGCGATGCATAGAGTCGCATGACAATTGAAAACCCATTTATTTCAATTGTGGCCTTTCCAATCAAAGCCAATGAAGTCACAGCAACTTTTAAAAAGGTTCCTGCCTTACTTTGTTGAGATTGTCATGTGGATTGAGTGCCATAGACTCTGTTGAAAGCAAATTGCACTGCATAGACGCCCAGGAAATCACATGACAAACGGGTTGCATATGGGATTCATATCAGACAAAAACCTTAATGTCAGCGTTTTGTCTGATATGAAGATGAGGGGATTATACCATTCATAGCACAGCTGTCTGTACATAAGTTGTAGAAATGGGGTAGGTAATCTAGCACTACACATACAGGTATTCCACTATAAAATACAGCTCAACTGCAGTTTGGGGACATACCTGATTTATTAGGAAATGCAAACTTTAAAGCTGAATTCACCTTAAAATTAGTTTGTGAACAATAAACACCATGCAACTCATGGGATTTAATGTTTACTTGGCCCCCCATGCTATCTACATCTTGCAGTTGACTGGAAAAGGCTTCCTCTGTCCACTGATGCTGTTAAAGATGTAGATGGCACGAGGAGCACTGAGCAACATCATGAGTTGCTTGTTATCGCTTGTAAATCATACGCAGGTTCCAGCACTAATTGCTGGACAACCGCAGCGTGGACAGATGTCAAACAGGGGGCTATGCATTT